GGGGTGCTAAGGAACCAAAGTTTGAGTGTGGTTCCTTTGTTAGAATACGAAAACCTGGAATCTTACGCAAAGGGGATCATAAATTCACTGCTCCTCTTAAAATCATAGAGAAGAAGGGCCCTTACACCTATCGACTTTCTGATGGGCGGGTATGGAATGCTTCTTATCTTGCACCTGCCTATGCAGCAAGAGGAGATTATGCCAACACCCAGTCTGCATTGGATGACTTCACAGTAGAACCAACACAAAACATTGCACTGGAACCGGGGCTTGAGAGACGGCCTTTCAGACTCAGATGACCACCTGCCTGGACTAAAGACTATGTTATGTAGTATCTACGGTGTTTTCAGTGTACTATTCCTGCCAACAGTATAGTGTCTTGTTTCATATTTGTTCCTGGGGTTAGAACAACAATGTTTATTTTAATTTGGAAAGTTTCTTAAGAGAGGAGGGAATGTGGTGTTTAGATGCTGCATGTGATTATTAGAACTGGGAGCACTGGCTGTTGGGAGTCTGAAAGGACAGGAAACAGGAAGGAGGGGGGAGGAGTTGGGGAGGCTGAGTGAGAGTTACAGAGTGTGCAGTTACAGCTTGGTAAAGAGATTTCCACTGTAAATAAAGTTCTGTTCAAGTTTGTTAATACCTTGCCTGGGTGATACAACAACTTGGAATATAATTAGGGTGACCAGACGTCCCGATATTATCGGGACTGTCCCGATATTTGCTTGTTTGTCTCGCGTCCCGACTGATGTGCGGTCGGGACACTGGACAAACAAGCAATTTTGCCCTCCTTGGAGGGCTCTCGCCATCCCTGACCCCCGACTCCACCCCTTCCTTCCCCCATTGGCTCCCTCCCCAAATCCCCACCCTGGCCCTGCCTCTTACCCAAGCACGTGGCATTCCTCCTCCCTCCCAGGCTTGTTGCTGTAATGGCGGGGCAAGCCTGGAGGGAGGGGTGGTGACTGGCTTCCAGTTCCTGGAGCTGGTGAGTAGGGGCACCGGGCAGGCAGGGGGGCTGGCAAGGGGGCTGCTCCCCCAGGAGGGTGACGGGGGGGGGGGCTCTGGACCCCGGCAGGGGAGAGCGGCTCGGGGCCGCACGAGTGGCCATGTAAAGTTTATCGGCTCGGGGTGGACCCCGGCTGGCTCTAGCTCCAGCGGCTCCTTCCCCGCGGGGTGGTGGGACGTGTCGCATGTGCCCGGGGCCCTCAGGGGGGGCGGGGCCGCGGCCTGCTAATTCCCCCGGCACCTGCAAAACGGCTTTTTTTTTTTTTTTTTTTTTTTACTTTTTTTGTTTGTTTGTTTTTTGTTTTTTTTTGCTCCCCCCCGGTCTCGATATTTCCTGTCAGTGATCTGGTCACCCTAAATATAATTAATGTCTGGTGAAAGGTAGATCGTCTGTCACATGAATGGGACAAATGCTGCTCCCAGAATCACCGCTTCCTTCTCCATCTTCATATTTGTATCCAGGGTTGTCCATGGACCCTCTGGAAGAACTCCTGGAAGACCCATAAAAGAGATCATGTTGTTCCATAGAAAAAAGGCTTCCTGACTTTGAGAGGTTAGAAAGAAAACTTTCCGGAGTACGGTTCCTGGGTGCTGAGAAAACAGTGCTAGGGTCAGTGTATGCAAAACTGACAGCAGATACATTGGAGGCTGGTCGTAGCGGTGGCACATCGCCAGGCTGTTTATAAATCGGTGATGTTTGTATGGGTGCTGAGAAAACAGTGCTAGGGTCAGTGTATGCAAAACTGACAGCAGATACATTGGAGGCTGGTCGTAGCGGTGGCACATCGCCAGGCTGTTTATAAATCGGTGATGTTTGTATGAGGGAGGTTCCTTGGGAGCTCCTCTGTTGGGGGGCAGCTAATTGCATAGGCTGGGAAGGAGATAGGACAATCCTCGTTTCAACATGATGCAAGTGAGACTGGATGGTGATAGATTTCACTTCTTTCTTCAAAGTCCTAAAAAAAAAAATAGACCTATTTGAGTTCAAGCTGAACCCCCTCCACGACTTCATTGAGCTTGAGAGACCAAGCGAGGATGCCAGGCAGGAATCAAACAGGAAGTGTCATCTCAGCCTAGCAAATAACAGTTTATCTTTACTAATTAGGGAAGCGGCATAAAGAACTGGGAGAATGTGGGCAGAGCCAGGCAGGAGTGGAGCTATAACCTTTAGTAACCCTTCAATAATTTAAGCTCTCACGCCTTTCCCCTCCCCATGCATCACCATCTGGGCTCAGACACAGCTCCTAAAGATGTCATTCTGGCCCTCCACACAGTCCCCAGACAGCAAGTGGCCCAAAGAGGCCCAAAATCTCTGGGCACACACTGCCTTCGGCATCACTAACTTGATCCAGGCGAGGGGAAGCCTTGGCTGACTTGCCAAGGGAGAGGATGCCCACCTGATCTGGGGGCTGTTCGGAGTCCTCACAGACTCAGCATTTTCTATCCATTTTCAAATGTGTGGGATCATATGAACTCCCAAATGGGTCATTGGCAGGGTTGGAACCTGTAGGCCCACCGCACAGACCTGCCACTTGAGCTAATGATAGTAGTAGTAGGTTGTGCTCTATGTGGACCAGCACTAGAGGGAGAGGAGAGAGACATTTTGCCAGCAGGTTTCACGGATATTTGCTGAGAGTGGAGGAATGGCAGGAATCTCAGTTTCCAATCCAAGCTCTGGAGAGGACAGTGCTCTTGTGACTCTTCTGACCCATCCTCTACAACCTGTCCCACTCCTGTCTCCTCCCCACCTCTGGTTCCTTGTCAGGGTCTTATAATGGGAAGTGTCCTTCTATTCTCCAAGCCCACCCAGCCTCAGCCACCACTCCTCAGGCTTCTCAGCTCAGTCCCTTTCCCCAGCCAATCACAATCTCCCTCTTCGGGCTCACTGTCCAAGTTCCAGTCTCACCCCTTCCCCACATCCAGGCCCAGCCAGCCAGTCCCAATCTGCCGGCCCCAACTCCTTGTTCCCAATCTCCTTGCACAGCTAGTCCCTACTCCTCATCTGATCTGTCTCTCCTGCCCCCCACTAGCTCCCAGTCCTTTTCTCCCTCCCCAGGCTCTTTAGCCAGTCTCAGTCTCTTCCCACTCCCTCTCCAGCTTCTTATATATGGTGATATACCTATCTTATAGAACTGGAAGGGACCCTGAAAGGTCATTGAGTCCAGCCCCCTGCCTTCACTAGGAGGACCAAGTACTGATTTTACCCCAGATCCCTAAGTGGTCCCCTCAAGAATTGAATTCACAACCCTGGGTTTAGCAGGCCAATGCTCAAACCGCTGAGCTACCCCCCGGAGCTTCTTGCTCCAGGCTCTCCCATCCATGGCTCCTTGTCCCTGTCTTCTTGTCCAGCCAGACCCAGTCTACCCGTCCCCCGGCTCCTCATCCGATATCAGTAGTCCCCCGCAGCCAGCCGGCAACCAGTCCTCTCCCACTTTCCTCCCACTTCCAGTCCCAGTCTCCTCGCCCAGCCCAGTCCTACTCTCTCTCTCCACCTCCAGTCCGAGACTCCTTGTCCCAATCTACTCCTTTCCCTCCCTCTCCTCCAGCTTTTGTTTCTGCTGCATTTGAATCAGCTTCCCAGCCCAAAGCAGCCATAAGTAAAGTCTGTCTTCGCCCCTGTAGCCCTGAGGGAGCATGCTGAATTGCTCTGTGGGGATGGCCCAGCACAAGGCTCGAACATGCCCAGCAAAGATGGAATCTTCAGAGATGCAACTGCTCAAATCAAGATTCTCTAAAGAGCATGTGCAATCTGCAAGTTCTCAAAACATTATAACTTGCCCGTATTCAGGTAGATTTTCATGAGGACAGCAAAAGGCACGTCTCTGACACAAGAACACCCCCTGCCAAATGTCAAATCTCTGTTTCAAAGCATGGGGGCACTAAAGCTATTCAAAGGAAAGCTCATCTGATATTTTTTTTTTTTTAAGCATGGGCAAACAACGTATTTTTCACAAGCCTCCTTCTCAGAAAAGGCTGCACTGTTCTCAGAAAAATCTAGCCCTAGGCAGACACCCATCGTGTACTTCAACCTGAATGGGTAAAGTTTAGCAAAATTATAAACAACTGAAAACAGGGTCTTATAATGGGAAGTGTCATTCAACCTTAATAATAAGCAGTGCTACTAACTTTTTCTATAATTTAATACACACATACAGATTGGCTCATTGACTCCTTTGAGCATGGTGAAGCCATAATGTATGTTAAAAGTAAGCTCAGAGGTAGGGTGAGGGCCTCAGTGAGACCTGGAAGCACCGTGCCGAAAAGCACCAGAAAAATAACCCCCTAATTAATTACATCCAATGCTGCAAACAGATCCACGAGCAGGGTCTGTCCGAACCTGCCCGAAGGACCCAGGTTCCCAATACACAAAGCATGCGCCATGCAGTGGAATGGAGGTTACAGAACGGTGTAAAACTTACGTGTTGTCCTTTGTCATCAGTTTGTAAGAAAGGAAACTGCAGCCCGGAATGAGTAGGAGGGAGATTATCAAGAAGACACTCATTATAGCGATTATTAGGTCTTGTGTATGCTTCCGACTCTCCTGGGATTCTTTTCCTATAACATTTTTTTAAAGAAAGTATTAGCTAAAACAATGTAAATGTACCATTGTATCCACCGGTGTGGTCCCCGATCAGTGGCCTGCCTGACTGTAAGGGAACATATCCAGTTCCATGGGCTTCAATGGCTGCACCAGTGCTCCTCAAACATTAGGTGCCGAAGGGTCACTCTGGCAATGAATGGCTTCCCGGGGAGCCACACTGTAATGACAGTGCAGTGTTCTCAATGAAAGGACCACCTGTCTGATTGCATTCAGCCCTCTCCTCTATGCCCTGTCCTCTCTAGTGTGGGTCTCCTCTCTAACCTCCCCTATTAGTGGGGGAGACCGAGAAGGTTTCACCTCTCTGCCTCTCACATTTCTTGAAGAGGGATGCTCTTTCCTGTCTTTCTCCCCTGCCCCGCTAGGGCGTGGAATGGCATTTCTCCTTTCTCCTTCTCCCTCCATCATCTTATCCTTTAGGGCTGATGCTGAGAGTGTAGAGGAATCCCTAGGGCTCTTTTTCCTTCCACTGCCACTGCTTCTATCCCACTGCTGAATTTCTCCACCACACGCTGCACTGCTCACCACACTGCCTGCCCATCTGATTGCCTGTGGTCTACGTTGCTCTCCCTCAGCGACAGAGCGAGCCAGTCAAGCACTAATTAAACCTACAAACACTACAGAGCAGCACGCAGAGTGCTGGAGAGGCTCACGCAAAGCCCTGAAGAGCTGCGGGATGATGATTGCCCCCAAAACTGGATGAATGGCAGACATAACTGTCTGTTTAGAGGGCAAACCTAATCAGAGCGGTTGGAAGCTGTGAATTGGTGCCTGCTAGTCTAGCTTTTCATTTGGTCCTTTGTGCTTTGTATGTTGGATGTTAAACAGCAGCGCGGGATGGAAGATGGATTGTTAGCGGAATGGAAGATGGATTGTTAGCGGAAATTCAAAAACTGACATTTTTTGTTTTGGAAATGTTGCTGTGGTGACTCCTGGGAGTTGTAGTTCTGGTGCCTCACTGTCCCGTCCCGTCAGACGTCTGACG